CACCAATCATTAATTTACATATATTTTACGAAATGAGATATATATATATATGCACTTCATGTTTGCGGTATACCATCTTTTCCGCAATGTTATTGTTTTCTGTTTGGTATTAAATTTATAATTAAGATCCATTTTGTTACATCTGGTGATCCGTTTATTTGGCAATCGCCATGGCAGTGAGCAGGGTTTAAAAACATCCGTTGTTCGACCTGCTAGTCAAATGCGTTTTGTTAAAATATACTTTTTCACTTTTTTGGTCTTTTGGAAAATGTTGCTTTTGCTGTATTTAGACCCCTCTACCAAGAAATTTGTTTTGCATGCACACGTATAAAAATTGCGCAATCATAGGTTTGAACGTTGTTTTCAATTTAGACTTGTTTATATATATATATATATATATAGCTCTTTCACATTCCCTCATTCGTGACCCCCATAACGCTAATTTGTTCTTCAAGAGCCTGTTCCCTGTTAGATCGTACTTTGTGTCATTTTACTAATAAAATTTAAAACAAATATAAGTATTCGAAAATAAAAAAAATAATGAATAAAACTGATGAAATAAAAAAAAGAATCTGTCTTTTCCCTTAAAACTCATGCTAACTCAAAAACAAAAGCTGACGTAAATTTAGAGACTGCGAAGCACTCATACATTATTAGAAAGGTCAAACTTGTTATTTTTTTCAAATTGATAATAAATTTGAACGCCATGGTATCATTTAATTTCACATACAGGTATATTGATTATGTTCTTTCCATTGATAATCCAAACTTTTCTGATTAGGTCCCATTAATATTTACTTCTGAACTAAAGATTAAAGAAACCACAGACACTGCCTCTTTTTTAAGACATATACCTCGAATTTAACTACAACGGTCATCTTAGTACCAGAACCTATGACAAACGATACGACATCAATTTTGAAATTATAAATTTGCCTCACCTTAGGGAGCTACCATTTGATTTTTATGGGGGGGCTAGGATGAAAAATTTTGTCCTGCATTTTTTTTAGCTGTAATCTCTGTCCTGCCTTTTTATTTTTCACTCTATTCGGTCCTGCCTTTTTTTTTTAGTTTATCCTGACTTTTTTTTACCTAAATTGTCGTCCTGACTTTTTTTCTGCAAGTGTCTCATCCTGCCTTTTTTTTTACTCAAAACTCCTGTCCTGCCTATTTTTTTTCAAATTTCATCCTTTACAAATCAAATGGTAGCTCCCTTAGCAGCAATATATCAACTCCACCCTCGAATTATAGAGTACACATTTCTCAAATCATGATATATTCAAGAGCTTGCATCTTCTACTAAGACTTTGAAAAACGTCATTGGTGTCCGAGTAAAAATCAAAGAGCCAGGGTTTTGTCAAAGAACGTCTCGTCCTTTTTCTAAAAGAATTAAAGAAAGGTACCAAGACTTAATAGATAAATATTTAGTGTCTACTTCACAAATAATAGAAGATGGTTAAGAGTTATAGATTCTCGGTACTGAAGTTGTGTATCTCTTTGTTTACTTTACAGTTTTCCCTTTATGTTTATTTGTTCTATTATTTAACTTTTGGTTGTATGACTCTTGACGTGACTCGGTATTTGTGCATCAATGTATCGGGTTGTTTTGGCTTTCCTGGTGCAGGTGGATCTAGAGGTGCGATTTGGTTTTTACAGTGTTGTTTTCATTTTGTTTACCATTTTGTTTATATTTTACTTAATTTGTACTTTATCGAGAAAGTGTATAATATATAACGTATGTACTATCAACTACTAAAACTTTTTTATTGGCGTCTTTGTCAAATTTACTATCAACTATCAACTATAACATTTTATTTGTTGGCGTCTTTGTTAGATTCACTTGTTTGTTAGTTGGATTTTTTAGTCAGTTGTGTTGTATGTCTGTGATGTATGTTTGCACAGTTTTGGCTGCTGTATCCCAATTATTGTCACATAAACCTATTATGTTTGTTGGGGTCGCGCACCTTAAAGTTTCCATATAACGGAACTATAAACTGTTGCAACTGTCATACAAGTGAGAATTTTAGCTAGCTATAAAACTAGGTTTAACCCACCATTTTCTTTGGAAAATGCCTGTACCAAGTCAGGAATTTGACAGTTGTTTTATATTTGTTCTTTTGATTGATAGAGTCTAACGTTTGATTTGTCAGTTTTATGTACTTTCCCTTTTTGAATTTACCATGGAGTTCGCTATTTTTGTTGTTATTTTTTTATTATTATAGTTGGAGACATGTAACTTTGACACTGGTCAACCGGAAGTACAGCAACCAATATAAGAATGTAGACGTACACGATTTCTTTATACTAGTAAGTAGATTCAGTACTTTGGCCTGCTATTAGTAACTGATAATATTCAGACTTGAAACATTATGTTAAGTATTGCTTCACTTGTAAACATGTTTTTTTTTATTTCGATAAAATAAGATGTGGAATGATAAGCAATGAGACAACTATCCATACACAAAAGAACCCAGATTTTAACAATAACAGGTCACCACATGGCTTCAGCAACAATAAAAAGCCATACCGTACAGAAAATGGAAGACCATTTGATTAACGGGTGGGGCAGGAAGATTTTTTACGAAATATTAATTTTCAACTGTTGCTAGTTCGGTATATTTTTTTCGCTATTTTCCGCGCGAAAATAGATTTTTTTCTTTTGAACACTTTAATTTCCTACATTGTGTTTGTGCCTGTTCTTTGCAAGGTTAATTATTCTATTCTTACAAGGTCAGAATATTCATTATCAAAATTCTCCTAAATATTTCCACATATAAATGTTCCTGTCCCAAGTCAAGGACCTCACTAGAATGAAAAACCTCCAAATATTAATGAACCTGTCCTAAGTCAGCTACATCGTCAGAATGAATTGTATCCAAATATTCCATGCAAGTTCAGGACGAGAACAAATAAACAATAGATACAAAAGCTCAATTCTACTGAAGCGTATAAGCGCCACACAACTTTTTTTTTATAATTTTCTTCCTATCTTTGCGAAATAACAAAAACCTTTGCGTTAAAACGCAAACCTTTTGCGTTATAACGCAAACCTTAGCGTTATAACGCAAACCTTTGCGATATAACGCAAACCTTTGCGATATAACGCAAACCTTTGCGAAATAACATAAACTTTTGCGATATAACGCAAACCTTTGCGAAATAACGCAAACCTTCGCGTTATAACGCAAACCTTTTGCGTTATAACGCAAACCTTAGCGTTATAACGCAAACCTTTGCGATATAACGCAAACCTTTGCGAAATAACATAAACCTTTGCGATATAACGCAAACCTTTGCGAAATAACGCAAACCTTCGCGTTATAACGCAAACCTTTTGCGTTATAACGCAAACATTTGCGATATAACGCAAACCTTTGCGAAATAAGGTTTGCAAACCTTTTGCGTTATAACGCAAACATTTCCGAAATAACGCAAACCTATGCGATATAACGCAAACCTTTGCGAAATAACGCAAACCTTTGCGTTATAACGCAAACATCTTGATTTCAATTATTCATTAAGTTATGTATTTATATCCGTCTGTCATTAATTTTCTGTTGTGATTTAGTTAGGAAAAGAACCATAAATACAAGGACAAAGTCAAAAATAAATATGCATGGGAATCAGAAAAGTATACAATGTAACAAGAAAATAGAAATGTTATAGGCATATTTTATTTGAAAGGCCAACATTTTTAAAATTTTGATTAAGTAGATAAGAGCAAAAATAATGACATACAATTGTAAAACTGTCAAGTCAAATAGACAAAATGATCTTTCTGCTGTAAAATGAATTATTAAGAAAGATTTTTTTTTAAATTTTGATGTAAGAAATCGTTTTTTAAAATCTCAGAATATGATAAAGATTCTTTGATAAAAAGTCATGAAATTTTCAATCTAGTGTGGTAACTTGGTAGCAATTTAAATGGAGAGAACATAATTTTATTAACAAAGCATCTTCATTTTATTCATTTATTGCAAAAGGGTAGTTAATCAACCTTTCACAATCCTCAAACGAGAGCTTACTTTGGAAGTATATTTATATTCGGCTATAGCTATATTAGCAGGGTTGTTTTTTTTTTCTTCGGTATAACTTTTATTTACTCAATTTTCATTGTAATATATGTACAGGTATTATCATGTATATAATTTTTTTTTTGGGGGAAGGGGGGGGGGGGGCACTTTATAGTTAAATGTTCGGTGTGAGCCAATGTCCGTGTTGAAGACCGTACTTTGACCTATTACTTTTACCAATTATGACTTAGATGGAGAGTTTTCTCATCGGCACTCATACCACATCTTCTTATATCTATTATCCTGCTCGTTATTAGTTAAATAGTAAAGCATGTTACTTTGCAATGAGTACACAGAAGATAAATTTTAATATATACAGCCTCCTCCATTAATAACTGCTGCTTCCTTTGAATCTTAAATAAGAAATAAGATAAAACAAATGTTTGCGTTATATCGCAAAGGTTTGCGTTATATCGCAACGGTTTGCGTTATAACGCAAATGTTTGCGTTATATCGCAAATGTTTGCGCTATAACGCAAAAGGTTTGCGTTATAACGCAAAGGTTTGCGTTATATCGCAAAGGTTTGAGTTATATCGCAAAGGTTAACGTTATAACGCAAAGGTTTGCGTTATTTCGCAAATGTTTGCGTTATAACGCAAAACGCAAACGTAGGAAGAAATATAAAAAAAGTTGTGGGGCGCTAATACGCTTCCGTACAATTCAGATTTGTAAAGATGATACTTTTCGTGATTTTTCCTTTATCCGATGTTATTCTACGTCTGGTTTTGTTTCATTGTTTTTTTTTCTTCTTAAAATTGTATTTTCAGTATAATACAACAGGTTGCTTTCTAATGCTGACTTTATAAAATAAAATGCTATTCTTAATCCTAATGTAAACAGAAAGAAAACGTTGAAGATACCAAGGTGGATTTGTAATCGAAAGACTGACATCGTAGAAACCAATCACAAACAAAACACGTTAGAACTCAAAGCAGAAACACCATTTATATCATAAGTATATACTTTTTACACAAGGTCATAGAAAAAATATTTTTACAAAAAAGGCCATCAAACAGAATTGATTACGTATCAATGTAGTTGTAGAGTTTTATTTATAATTCATTAATTTTTAATTCCATAAATGCAAAAGATATTCTTTGTACCTAAATTATTTATTTCTCAAATATACTGTTTAATTAAAATACTGAATAAGAATATTACAACATCACATTATATTGTATTTAGCTGCAGAACGTTAATGCAATTTAAGTGCTCCAATCTGCTTCATCATCCAATCAGATGTGAGGCTATGGGATCAAGAAATCCCCTCCTTTGCGTTGGTAATCCATAGACTCTCCGTAGTCTTCCAAGGATATCAGCAATGCTTCTGTAACGCTCACTGTATCTATTGTTAGCTGACCTTCTGTACCTTTGAAATAATTCATCTTCCAATTCATCATTTTTATCTCCAAACATGAGGGGTATATTAAATGTACCGTTCATTTCATCTGTATTGTTAAGGCTCATTCCTTCAGGGATTTCATTTTTCGAATTGTCATGTTGTCCATTTTCCCTCATGTTGACATCTTGGTCAATGCCATAACTGTTACTATCATGAACATTGTTAGAAAGCTTGCCTATCGGAGTTACTGCTTTATCTGCTATTTGGTCTGCATTGGATTGATAGTACGTCTTGAAGAAGTGTTTAAACTGTTCTGATAATTGGTGCGAAATATCGTCTGTGGCGTCTGCTTGGTCAGCGACCCTATCGTCGTCTGTTTCATAAATGTGTGGTAAATAGTATTCAGACAACAAGTCATTTGTCATTCCAGGTTTGCCTGTATAAGACGTATCTTTTCCGAAAACAACCCTAAACAAAGAAAAGGATAACTAAAATACTTAATGAATTAAGGGATTGAATGTTGCCAAATATAAAAGAAAAATATTGATCGCACAGATAATAAACAGCTGCGCCATGAGCGCATGATACGCCCGTCGCCTTGTGTGTGAATTTTTATGCAATATTCATAAATAGTTTCTGAAATACGGCCTGATATGCGAAAACCCCCTTTTTTTACAAAAAACTCAATATCTCTGAAATAAAATTTTGAATCAAAACCAAAACGTATAAAGATCTTAAGATTAATATAACTAAGAAGTGTGTAAAATTTTAAGCAGTAATCATAAATCGTTTTTGAGATACGGCGCGACATGTGAAAACCCCCCTTTTTAAAAAAAAATATCAATATATCAAAAATAAAATTTTGAATCAAAACCAAAAAGTATACAGATCTTTAGATTAATATAACTAAGAAGTGTGTAAAATTTTAAGCAATAATCATAAATCGTTTTTGAGATACGGCGTGACATGTGAAAAACCCCTCCCCCTTTTTTTTTTTACAAAATACTCAATAACTCAAAAATGAAATTTTGAATCATCACCAAAAAGTGTACAGAACTTAATATTAATATAACTATTAAGTGTGTAAAGTTTTAAGCAATAATCATAAACTGTTTTTGAGATACGGCGTGACATGTGAAAAACCCCACCCCTTTTTTAACAAAATACTCAATATCTCTAAAATAAAATTTTGAATCATCACCAAAAAGTATACAGATCTTAAGATTAATATAACTAAGAAGTGTGTAAAGTTTTAAGCAATAATCATAAATTGTTTTTGAGATGCGGCGCGACATGTGAAAAAAAAAACACACACACCTGTTTTAGTTACTAAGTCCCGTAACTCAAAAAGTTTTAATCTTATTTTCACCAAAAAGTATACAGATCGTTTGACCATCATAAGAAACAACTATGTTTAGTTTCATGAAATTTGGATAAGTCGTTCTCAAGTTACGGTGCGACATGTTTACGCCGGACAGACAGACGGACAGACGGACGGACGGACGGACGGACAGACGGACAGACGGACAGACGGACAGACGACATTTGTATACCATAAAACGTCCCGTCAAAATTTTGACGGGCGTATAAAAATTCGTAACGGGTTCCGTGGAACCCTATATATCGCCTACGACTGCAGTTGTCAGTTTAACTGCCAAACGCTAATAGAAAAACAAAGGATATGGGGTATCCACCCATGACACAAAATCAGTACATGTACAGCAAAAGACACACAAAAAGCAAAGGTACAGCGCTTTTGTTGCTGTTCTTCGTCTCAAAATCTAAGTCCATTTATCAAATAAATTCGGCAAAAAATATTATTAAAACAATCTAAATGATGACTGCACATAAAAAAAAACTGAAACAATTAAAGTCATTTTAATATCAAAGAAAATACTGAAAAAAATATTCCATATTTGAAAAGTCATTGATATTTAAAACTTGAGTCAGGGACTTTAACAGAAAAGCAGCTCCATTTATCAGTAAAACATATCAAAGATACTGGTCAATAATTTGGTACTCTTAACGAGCCTTGCGTCCACATAAGACTCACTGGAACAAATCAAATACGGTGTTGAAGAGCAAATAAACCGGTCATATCAAGCTCGACATTCTACTTCTACATCCCCGTGATGTGTGACAGGGAGTCAAATGCAATTCTGGCGAATGGCAGAGCTTAATACAAGTAAATCATAATATGAACTAAATAGAGAAATGCATTATTTTCATTCATATGATATATCTGTAGTATTTCGAATTCACATGTAATAAATTAATACTGATGCACACAAATAAGCCATAAATAGGCTTAGACATATCATTTACATATCTGCCCGGTTACCTGCGACAAATATCAAGATCTCGGGATAATAACAGGGCAGATATGGAAAATGACATATATCAATCTATGATAATTTATATTCATACTATTTACCTGTATTATTGGCGCAAATATAATATTTTGTTTTGGCGTAAAAGACATGTGGTTTTTGGCGAAAAATTATAATTTTTTTGGCGCTCACTTTCAACATATTTTATTGTCGATACTAATTTTTTTTTTAAATGAAATACAAATTTGTGCAAATGCAATGCACCAAGACTAAGTATTTTGGGATTCCATTCATTGTGTCCCTTTTAGTTATAGTCGTATTTATACATCCCTGGCTTTCAAATGTTTAGGATTGAGCATTTCTTATGAAGGTAAATCCAGAAAAGCACTTGGGACGCACGAAATTTATAACGTGTTGTTTTTATTGGTAACCCTACAGAATGAGTATATCAAAGGTTAAGAAATAGTTTATATGGATCATATCTTTTTTACGAGACCTATTAAGAACATACACGCAACTGTTAGAATCACAGGTACTGCATAACTTTCAAACCAATTTTTTGTAACTATTAAAGAGTATAGTAATTTCTTATTGTAATTTGTGGTAACGAATCCCAGACTTAATAAGGTTTCATTTATACAATGGTTCATTCATTGAAATCTAAAGCCTCACTATGTACACGTCATAGTGAGTAAGGATATATATATAACTAAATAGAAAAATGCATTATTTTCATTCATATGATATATCTGTAGTATTTCGAATTCACATGTAACGAAAGGATTCCCATGAGAATCTCAAATATCCAAATCAAACAATCACCGTTCTGAAACGTTCTGAATAAACTCGTCATAGATACCAGAGATAATATTAATTCGGAAATGAAAGGTTGAGTGATGTCGGTCTGAATTTGGTAAAATTAATAGTTCAAAGATTGCTGAAATGTATTTAGTTCAATAATGTTTTAAACGGGTCTTTGTTTTTTAAATGTTGAAAATCAGAGACATTTCAGAAAATAGTCTGTTCAACTAAAATAAAAAAAAGAAAAATATTCACAAAAAAAAACAATGAAAATAAAGCAAAAGGAAAAAAGATAAAAACAATCAAAACATAAGCCAGATAAAGCAAAAACCCAAAAAATCCAAAACAAACACAAAATAAACCCCCCACATTTAGCTTAGAAATAAGGCAAAACAAAACATTACTGTACATACAAATTCAAACATTTAAGAAATGAATGTACTTACATTTGTATAAGACTTGTCCATATAAGAAACATCATGTTAGTACACCGTATACCATTCATCACAGGCGATATACTGAAAATAGTCCATTAAACATCAATTATAAATACCAACAAAAAGGAAAACACTTAATTTCAATTTATAAAGTTAGAATTATTTTATGATTTGCCGTTTGAATATTTATTGGACAATTACAACCTTCAGTAGGTTTGTGCAAATTACTCGAATCCTTCCTTCCACTTTTGCACTCGAATATGTTTGTCACATCATTCAAATTGTCATTGCACAATATATCTATCTGCATACATAACTATTTCCAAGTGTCGTCAAATATCAGACTGAAATTCTTCAAATAAATTCAATCTGTATAGAATTAAATTCATAGACTAGAAAAAAAATCAGTAAAGAAAAGTGCGACACTCTACTTTTGAACATTTTTACTTAATGATTTACATTGAAATATAACATGTCCTTACTTTAATGTATTTATATTCAACTTCTAGGAAACGATAACGTTTCATATGTGATATTATTATTAATGTTCCTTACCGTATCAAGTTGCTTAAAGATCTCGCGGGTTTCTTAAGGTGTCCCCAGTTCTGAAGAAATCTTCACAATAACCGGAAAGTGTGAAAATAGAGCTTTTAAGATGTCATCTACGCAATTTGTTCCTATGGAAACTATTAAAGAAAGTGAGAAAACTGTTCGTATTCCAGTTATTGGATATATTAAATCTAAAATGAAATATTGTTATTTTGATTTAAATTGATAATGAATTGTAGTACTTTTGATGCATACATTTCAATTTCACTTTTACCCATAAGAGGTTTTTAAAGCAAAATACCAACTTAGTTGTTTTGCAGTTAACAATTGTATCATGTATCATAAACACACTAATTTAAAAGTATGTTACAAATATTATTTATAGGATTTAGGAAAGGAAAATGACTCGATCCAAAAACTTACATTTTTTTCTGTTATAAAAGATGTGTATTGTAACAAAAAATGCAATAAAAATACAAATCGAAAACTTAAAATGATTGTTCAGAGCAACGTTTGTCGAAGGCATACCGACAGGTTGTTCAAAACTCATTTGATTGATGTTGTCATCGCTGAATTAGTCATTCTGATAGGTTGTTACAACTGCTGGATAAATTGATGTTACCACCGCTGAATTGGTCATTCTGATAGATTGTTACCACTGCTGGATAAATTGATGTTACCACCGCTGAATCAGTCATGCTGATAGATTGTTACCACTGCTGGATGGACTGATATTACCATCGCTGAATTAGTAATGACGATAGATAGTTACCACTGCTGGATGGATTGATGTTACCGCAGCTGGATTTGTAATGGTGTTAGATAAAAACCACTGTTGGATTGATAATACCGCCTCTAGATTGGTAATGATATCAGATAGTTACCACTGCTGGATTGATGTTATCTCCGCTAGATTGATAGTGTTGATAAATAGTACCCACTGCTGGATGGATTGATGTAACCGCCGCTAGATTGATAGTGTTGATAAATAGTAAACACTGCTGGGTGGATTGGTGATACCACTGCTAGATGTATTATACTGATGGATAGTAAGCATTACTGGGTGGACTAATTTTACCGCAGCTGAATTGATAATGCTGTTAGATAGTTACCACTGCTGGATTGATGTGTACGCCGTTTATTGGCATTGCTATTATAATCTGACCACTGATGGATTGATGTAATTGCCGCTGTTTTTGGTAATGCTGTTTGATTGATATCAATGCTGATAACTCCCGCTAGATTGATAATGCTGATGAATTGTTCGACTTGCTAGATTGATAATGCTGATGAATTATTCCACTTGCTAAATTGATAATGCTGATGAATTGTTCCACTTGCTATATTGATAATGTTGTTAACTTTTACTTCTCGTAGATTGATAATGTTGTTAAACTCTTACTTCTCGTAGATTGATAATGTTGATATACTGTTACTTCTCGTAGATTGATAATGTTAATAAACCGTTACTTCTCGTAGATTGATTATGCTGATACACTGTTACTTCTCGTAGATTGATAATGTTGATAAACTGTTACTTCTCGTAGATTGAGAATGTTGATAAACTGTTACTTCTCGTAGATTGATAATGTTGATAAACTGTTACTTCTCGTAAATTGATAATGCTGATGCATTGTTGCTTCTCATAGATTGACAACGCTGATGCATTGTTACTTCTCGTAGATTGGTAATGCTGATGCATTGTAACTTCTCGTATATTGATAATGCTGATGCATTGTTACAATTGCTAGATAGATAATTGTGATAAATTGTTAAGATAATGCTGTTATTCGCTTTAGATTGGTAATGCTGATAAGATATTACTCGCCAGATTGGTAATTCTGATAAACTGCTATACATGTTGCAGATAGGGAGTGAGTACAACACACTATATACCAAGTAACTCTTCATTGTAGAGCTATTGCTGTATTTATGCAATCTTTATTAATTCTATGTACAATTCAAAACATTTATTTGTAGTGCGTCCTTATCTGACATCTTGCCAGAAATGTGAAAATTAAGAAAACTAAAGTACCTGATTATAAACTAGCTGTTATGAACGAAGGTGGACCGGATGTTGACATGGCAGTAAAATTAATTGCCATTTTCTAGGGTATAATTTACACCTACGAATGTCACAAATAGGTTTGGTTATGAAGTGATAATAAGAATAGAAGAGAGGTGATAATGAGTAAATCTTTGTGGGTGATAAATCAAAACACTACAAACTACAAGTAGTCGTCATGTGTTTAAAAACAACTTGAAATTGGTTTACACATTCGTTTAAATTGATTGATTAATCGATGTTAACGACACTTTCAGTTCTATTGTGGTATTTTGTGGCGGTCAGTTTTTATAAGTGGAGGAAGCCGGAGTGCCAAGAGAGAAAAACCGACATTCGGTAGGAAAACTGAAAATTCCAGTAAATTAAGATTGGAGTCGAGCGCACTTGTCACGTGCAGGATTCGAACTCACAATCTCAGTGTTGACAAGCTAGTGATATAGTAGTTCAACTATTTAGACCACTCGGCCACCGAGGCCCCCATTCGGTTATTCAAGGTACGACAAGGGTAAAAACCTATCACTTGCTATGTTTTCTGTATTTCTAAATGGTCTTCAATTTTTTTTTTATATAAGCCTGGTATCTTTGAACAGATTTTTTTTAATCAGAAGATTTATAGATTGTTTTTTACTTAACTTAGTTTTTTAGCTCACCTGGCCCAAAAGTACAAGTGAGCTTTTCTCATCACTTGGCGTTCGTCGTCCGTCGTCGTCCGTCATCGTTAACTTTTACAAAAATCTTCTCTTCTGAAACTACTGGGCCAAATTTAACCAAACTTGGCCACAATAATCATTGGGGTATCTAGTTTAAAAAATGTGTCCGATGACCCGGCCCGCCAACCAGGATGGCCGCCATGGCTAAAAATATAACATTGGGGTAAAAGAAGATTTTGGCTATTATCTCTGAAACCAAAGCATTTAGAGCAAATCTGACAGTTGTAGAATTGTTCATCAGGTCAAGATCTACCTGCCGTTAAATTTTCAGACAAATCAGAAAACCTGTTGTTGGGTTGCTGCCCCTGAATTGGTAATTTTTCGTAAATTTTGCAGTTTTTGGTTATTGTCTTGAATATTATTATAGATAGAGATAAACTGTAAACAGCAATAATGTTCAGCAAAGTAAAATCTACAAATAAGTCAACATGACCAAAATGGTCAATTTTTCGTAAATTTTTGTAATCTTTTACAAAAATCTTCTCCTCTGAAACTACATAGACAAATTTAACCAAACTTGGCCACAATCATCATTAGGGCATCGAGTTTTAAAAATGTGTCCGATGACCCCGCTTGCCAACCAACAAGGCCGCCATGGCTAAAAATAGAACATAGGGGTAAAATGCAGTTTTTGGCTTATATCTCTGAAACTAAAGCAAAAGTATAATGGTTGCATTATTTCATGCATCAATTGTAAACAAAAATATCAGGTGAGCGACACAGGCTCCTTAGAGCCTCTAGTTGTTATTACTTTTTACTTAAGGCTTAAAATCAATATCACAAGATACAGAAAAGGAATTGACAGTTTTTTTTAAATCATTTTTGAAATGCGAATGGTACTGTTTTGTAAACAGAAAGCAGCAATGATCTAGAATACAGTCCTGTTAAACGCATTTCACGAATATTGTGAAGAATGGAAAATGAAAATAAATACCAACAAACTAAAGTTCGAATTTAAATTTCAAACCACAAAAGCTTTGCATTGTGTATTAACAAAATGTGGACACAAAAAAGTTCAGTAGAGTTCAACTTGACTTATTTGATAAAATATTTTTGTCAATACTTTTATATGGATCATAAATATGGCGGTTTGAAAATATAGATATAATTGAAAGAGTACATTTAGAGCTGCAAGTAGGCTGATCAAAAAGAAGAACCTGGGATTAGTGGTCATGAACTGAAATCTCAATAGTTTAAAATCAATATCAAAATTACAAAGTTTACTGTATCTGAAAGTTTTTTTCAGGATTCACCTAGAGATTTTTGTTTCCACTAAGGCTTAATTGGGTTGGATAAAGGAAAAAGCATATGAAGCCATCTCTATACAGTTAACAATCTTTATGAAGAAACATTCCAACAGCACCTGTATATGGGGTTTATATCTCCCAAATTTTGCGAAAAATTTGGGAAATGCATTATAATTTCATTGACCGTTATAGAATATCAATATCACATATGACCAGGGAAACTTGGCACATTTTAATAGCTACACTCAGGGATGTGTGACACTTGTAAAAACAAAAATATCTTCATCCTTTCGTTTATGACATAATTGAAAACCTCATCACTGGATATCTTATTGCCATGAATAACACAACGGGCTCCAATAGTGGAGCAAGATCTGCATATCTTTCTGGAAAACTTTTTTCTTTGACACAGTGTATCTTCATACCTTTTGTAAATTATTGAATCATTTAACGGTATAAACAACATTCGTATTGTACTTATCTGGTTTTGCTTTTATTTTCCAAGGCAGGGGCAAACAGAGGCAAAGGAGGAAC